ATAAGTAATCCTTTGTAATTAAAGCTACACTGTAGAATTTCATGTAATTCAATGAGAGTTATATTCTACAAATGTCTTGGCTATTCAGGGTTGCCATTTTACTAATCCTTTAATAATGTCTCATACTGCAACTTGAAAGAAAACTAACTGGATTATTTTATCCACTCATCTGCTTCATCAGAACAGATAATATTTTCAGCTCCCATTTGGCCTCAGGAAATATTTTATTTCTAAAGATTCTAAAGTAATGATATCTGTAGGTTGGCATTTTATTGATGGCTAGTTAGTAAGAGCAATGAGAGCACACACTAATCTCACTGCACCAAAAGGTCACTGGTTAGATTCCCAGTCAGGGCACATGCTTGTTCCCCAGTAAGGGGCATGCAGGAGGCAGCTAATCAGTGTTTCTCTTTCTTTCTCTTTCTCCCCATCTTTCTCTAAAATCAATAAAAACATATTTAAATAGTCCTGGCCGGTGCTGCTAAATGGTTAGTGCCAGCCTGCACACTGAAGGGTCTTAGGTTTGATTCCATCAAGGGCATGTACCTGGGTTGCAGGTTCCATCCCCAACCTGGTTGGGACATCTTCAGGAGGCAACCAATTGATGTGTCTCTCTCACATCAATGTTTCTTTCAGTCTCTCTCTCTCCCCTCCTCCTTTCCACTCTCTCAAAAAATCAATGGAAAAAATATCTTCAGGTGAGGATTAATAACAACCACCAAAACATATTTAAAACTAGAGGTCTGGTGCACGGATTCATGCACCAGTGGAGTCCCTCGGATGCTATTTACTAGAGGCCCAGTGAATCCATGCACTGGGCCTCTCTAGTATACATATGAGATCATTGGTTAATCTCTTCCCACCCTACCCCCTCCCTGCTTCCCTCTGAGATTCATCAGTCTGTTCCATGTGTCCATGCCTGTGCATTGAGTGTCTGCTCCCTGGTGGTCAGTGCATGTTATAGCTACCGGTTGAACAGTCAAATGGTCACTTAGGCTTTTATATAGAGAGATAATAATAAAATAATAAAATAAAATAAAAACACTATAGATACATAGGATACCCAATGGACATCAAGATTAGGGCATTTCCAAAAAAAAAAAAAAAGATTAGGACAGTTCCCACACAAATTAATATTCACCTACTACTAATATATATATAACTAGAGGCCTGTTGCAGGAAGATTCCTTCAAGAATAGGAGTGAAGCAGAGAAGGGAGCGAAACCTGCCGAGGAGCGAAACTCCGCTGCCCCGCTTGCTTCCCTCCCGCCTCCACCACCCCGCTTGCTTCTCCGCAGCTTCACTCCCTTCTGCAGCGCTTGGTTTCCTTCTAGTCTTTGCTCTATGCCTGCGTATGCAAATTAACTGCCATCTTTATTGGGTTAATTTGCATACTCATCTGATTGGCTGGTGGGCATAGTGGAGTGACACCAATTTGCATGTTTCTCTTTTATTAGTGTAGATATCAAATAAGGAAATACACTATGATAGAATCAAAAGCATCTTGATGTAAACTGATCACACATTTTTATGCAACCTATCTGTGTGGGATGATATCTTGAATAAAGTGTTAAAAGGTTATTATGAGAAAATCTGACAATATATAAAGCTTCATGCCTATTTGAAGGCTTATCTTCTTGATTACAACAAAGGAAAGTAACTTTGCAAGTATGCTTGTTGCATGTAGCATTTCAGCAAGACATTAATATACTGTCTAAATTATAAAATAAATTTAAAAAATAATAAACTGGAATGTATGAATCACTGGATTAAATTATCAATTACTAGTATTATGAGAAATAGGCATACTTAATATTACGGCCTGGCCCGTGTGGTTCAGTGGTTGACTGTGAACCTATGAACCAGGAGGTCACAGTTCGATTCCCAGACAGAGCACATGCCTAGGCTGTGGGCTTGGCTCAATCACCAGTGTGGGGCACGCAGGAGGCAGCTGATCAATGATTCTCTCTCATCATTGATGTTTCTGTCTCTCTCTCTCCCTCGTCCTTCCTCTCTGAAATAAAAAAATATATATTTTAAAACATTAGGATGTTATAGACCAGTGATGGCGAGCGTGTCAGCATTTTGGAAAACCCTAACTTAACTCTGGTGCCGTGTCACATATAGAAATTTTTTGATATTTGCAACCATAGTAAAACAAAGACTTATATTTTTGATATTTATTTTATATATTTAAATGCCATTTAACAAAGAAAAATCAACCAAAAAAATGAGTTTGTGTGTCACCTCTGACACGCATGTCATAGGTTCGCCATCACTGTTATAGACATTCTCATTTCACCTTTAAAATGGAGATATAAAAAATTAAACTGTCTTCAGATTTGAATTTGTGAAAGATTATTTTCAATAGATACTTCTGATTTATAACAACCACTGATTTAGTTCTCAAATATTCTGACAACTTAAGTGCAAAATTTCGTCTTCTATTATTTTAAGCAGCATGCGATATCAATAATTCATATTTTAAAAACCATCATTGTGTTTTGATATAAAATTGATTCACAAGGACACAGACAATAGGGTGGTGAAGGTCTGGGAAGGGAGGCAGGGGGTGGGGCAGGCTGGGAGAGGTCAATGGGGGAAAAAGGGGACATATGTAATACTTTCAACAATAAAGATTAAAAAAAATAAAATTGATTCACAAATTTAAAAAAACCCAATGTTTCACTGAAGCTGGAAACATAACAATGCACTAAAATATCTCTACCAAGCCTGAAAAGGTAAGATTTGGGGACCTAGGATTACTTGGTAAGGTAAGTACCATATGATTTCACTTCTGTGTGGAATCTAATGAACAGAATAAACTAACAAGCAAAATAGAAATAAACTCAGAGATACAGAGAATTGACTGATAGCTGTTAAGGGGAGGGGAGTTGGGTTGCTGGGTGAAAATGGTGAAAGGATTAAGCAAAATAACAACCACCTATTGTCTCTTTGCATCTACAAAAACATACCTTTAGAATGTCAAAGTAACTTCTGTACCCCTAAAAGCACAGGTACGCAGAGCAGAGACCACAAATCCCCTCATTGTTATTAATTGTCAACTGTTAACTAACCTGCACCCACTTATGTAAAAGATGTATCATTTTACTTTTATTTCATTGTCTTTAATTTTTTATTAAGGTATTACATATGTGTCCTTATCCCCACATTACCCCCCAATACCCCCCACTCATGCCTTCACCCGCCTGTTGTCTGTGTCCATTGGTTAGGCCTATATGCTTGCATATAAGTCCTTTGGTTGATCTCTCCCCCTTACCCCCACCCTCCCCTACCTTCCCTCTGAGGTTTGACAGTCTGATCGATGCTTCTCTGTCTCTGGATCTGTTTTTGTTCATCAGTTTATGTTGTTCATTATATTCCATAAATGAGATCATGTGATATTTATCTTTCTCTGACTGGCTTATTTACTTTTTATCCAATCCCATAGGATTCCCTGCTTTGCTTTCTCTCACCTCCCTAATTTATCACCAATGGATTTCATGTAAACTACTTACATCTTTTGACTGTAATGTAGTGCTCATTTCGGCAACACATATACTAAAATTGGAATGATTGGAATGTATAAAATAAGGTGCAAAACTGCCATTCTCTGGAGCATAATCTTAATCCGTTGAGATTTTGCTTCTTGGCAATTGTTGACAGTTTGGCTCAAATAAACTCACAAGAATTCTCTAAAGGTTTGAATGCTTCTTATGTTGACAGTATGCTTCTTCAAAATGCTAAGAGAAAGAATACAGACACAATAGATTATGTTGTCTATAATTCTATTTATATGAAATTCTAATAAAGCAAAAATAATGATAGACAACAAATCATTATTTGTCAAGGGCCATAGCTGGAAGGAGGGGGTTGACAGCAAAGAGTCACATGAACTTTGAAAGAGAAGGAAATGTCATATATCATAATTACTAGTGGTAGATAGATATATGCTTCCAAAACTCACTGAAATTCTACACAGAAAATTGGAAATTTTTATTTAAAAATTATACCTCAAAATTTTTTAAAAGATTATATATAATAAATCAGCATAGTTAAGAGTGCTCCCGTGTCTCTAGCAGACAGCTGTCTCTCCTTGGCGGGCAGAATTCCCGCTGATTTTCACATCCAGATGTTATATGGGCACCTCTTCCTCACTCTAGTGCTCTGGTGGGGGAGTCTGGCATGGGATTGAGACTCCATGCTCCTGTGGGGGAACCTTTTCAGCTGACAGATCCCTCTAGAATCTCAGCCACCTGTGGGACTGAGGCTATCTCTTTTTGTATCTTCGCCCTTCCTACCAGTCTCAATGTGGCTTCTTCTGTAAAATTTTGGTTATGAGGCTTCTCTTCAGCTAGTCTTCAGTTGGTTATTCAGGTTGATTGTTCTGTATTTTAGTTATAATTCTAGTTTGGTCCTGGGAGAAGTGGGTGTAGCTTCCATCTATTCTGCCACCATCTTGGATCCACCTCTGACCTTTTTACAAGAAAATTTTTTTAAATTTTTGCCAGAAAAATAAGCAAACTAACACATACTTGAAAAGTAGCCTTGAACACAATTTAAAATCCTCCAAAAATGTTCCCTAAACTCAGTACAAACTTGGCAGGTCTCTGAATGCTTTTCCCAGAATGTTACAGTATAACAGAGGTTGTATGTTTAGATTATACAGGGGCCAGATTGATAATGAGTGAGTGTCATGGAGCAAGAGGTACACTGCCATAAACTGGAGAGTACATGACCCCTCCCAAAAGAGCTGCCACCACTGAGTCCTACAGATTGACATAGGAAAGAAAACATACCGCAGTGTAGCCAGAGCATCTGAAGTTTGAAAAGAAGCAGAAATCTGGACTTGTATGGTAAATGTCCTGATTTTTTAGAATGATGGTTCACATTTTTTATATCAATGTGTGAGCCAAATAAAACACATCCATAGGCAGAATTATGACCTCTGGTCCACAGTGCAGACTTCATGACTTTTTCCATAACAAAGTTTTGCCATCTTTCTAAACACTTAACATCTTTATTTGTAATGAGCCTAGAATAATATACAATGCTAGTGTAACTGAAGTAAAATTCATCTCAAAATCACATGAAGGCTAATCACCTCTGGCCATTTGCTGAACAACCATGTCCTGTTTACATTTCTAAGCATACTGGTTGATAATAAAAAAAAAAATCAGAATAAAGGGAGAGAGATGAGGTAAAACTGATGAAAATCACAACTTTAAGATCAGAGTCAGCTTCTATCTAGACTCTAGAGGAATAAAATAATCCACGTGTTGAAATTTGAGGACTTCATTGCCCCAGCTAGTCCAACCGGGCTGTAAATTTCGAGCAAACAATTCCAAACAGTCCCCATCTGGCTTGATATAGTCTTTTAAAACCTCTGTTCGAAAAAGAGAAAAAAACACAAAAATTATTAAGAAAGGAATTAATATCCTTTTTGCAGTTAAGAGTAGAAGAGCAAAAATATTTCCTTAAAAAAAAAGAGAGAACAAATTAATTTCAAGGATTTTGTCACAGGCTTTCCTATTTATAGGTAGAAAGTCATTTGAAATAAGTACCCTTGAGATTGAAAAAAACACTATGAGAACTTCCAGTAGCCCTGATTTATCGGTTTTCGTTTGTAGATGAGAAATGAGGATTTTAACACCCACACAGATGACTTCAGTTTTCCAATAATGCTGACATGTCTTCTGAGTACAAACTTAATTTATTTTTTAATAAATGCAATCCATGCATAAAAAATAAGTCTACAGTAACAATACAAAGACAACTCACCTTAAAAACTAAGATAAAATGTAAGTCTCTGAAAACATATACTTTAGTGAAAGTAAAATGAATGAACATTTGGACCCAGAAATATTCAGAACACATAATTAACAAATAACTATATCCCCCTAGCTATAACTTGGTAGTACTAAGAACATTCTTTCACTTTCAAATTATACATCCTTACTTACCTAAAATTTTCACCATATTATTCCCACAGTTAAGTATTCCTTGTTCATTATATTATTATTATTGAAAATGATATTTTGTTGGGGAAAAAAGTATCTCATATATACTGGATAAGTAGCTGTGATCAACACTAACAGAAAGAAAAGAATACCATAGAAGCTTTTACCATGCTCACTTAGACAAATACTTAAGTCAATTTAACCTTAATCACATTGCTAAGTTAGCTATTCACTAATTACAGAAACTGGGTATGAAAATCACAAGTCAGGGAAGAAAAGTCACTAGACAGGTAAAATAAAATCTTAATTGCTATACAAGATTGAGCTTGGAAGAAATCTATCAAATTCCCTTTAGTAATAAGGAGAGTTCCTTATGAATAATTGATGTAGGTAAGGTTTAAAGGCCAATATATGAAAATTTTTATGTTTTTATAATGTTCTTCAATTGCTCTCACAACAAGATACTTATTTGTCTGAAAGTATTGGCCCTGTTTAAAAAAAAAATCAAAGAATTAAAAGTGCCTGTCTATAACTCAACTGAATTTAAATTTGGGCTTTGCTAGCATCTAGGAGATGGTAACATAAAGACTTCTAGTCCTTTCATAAGTATAGAATTATATGTTACTGAACTTGAAAGAGATAGATTTCCCCAAAGTCTTAGGACAATAACCCTGTAGCACTTTTCTACTTTTACCCCATGAATTCAATGCATTACCAACCTCAGTTCACTTTTAATGTGGTCTAAGATAATAGTGAACCAAGGTTCTCTTTGTTTTTGCTTATTTGTTCAGTTTTTCAGTACAAAGATGTTAGCAACTCTATTTTGGAACTTTAATCTGGAATCTAAACTGGAGTCAGCCAGTCAAAAATATTTACTATTCTAAGTATCTACTTAATCAGTGTTATGATTACAGATATCCATGTTTTCTAAGAGTTCACAATCTAATAAAAAAAGATGACCAGGTACTTAGAGTGGAAAAATACATACAACCTAAACCCATTTACCATGTCCTTTCTCAATGCAACACATTACCGCATGATTTTTTTTTCTTTCTAATTGACAAAAAAATAGAAAATCAAGGAGTAAGTCTTATGATGCTAAATATTTGTTTAAGTTCAAAAGAGGGCAAATGGCATAAAGGCAAATTAATAAAAAAATTATTCTTATTAATTTTAAATATCAATTTAAAAGTAAATGCAAGATCTTAAAAGTTTCATCACAAGAAAAAAATGTATAACTATGTGTGATGATGGATATTAACTAGACTTATTGTTGGTGATCATTTCGCAATACAGATGCTCAACTTACGATGGTTATGTCCTGATAACCCAGCACAAGTTGAAAACATCATAGGTCAAAAATGCATTTAATACAATTAACCGACTGAACATCGCAACTGAGCCTAGCCTGCCTTAAACATGCTCAGAACACTTACATTAGTCTATAGTTGGGTAAAATCATCTAACACAATAAATGCACTGTAGGTTTTAAGTGATTTAAACATCATAGGTCAAAAATGCATTTAATACAATTAACCACTGAACATTGCAGCTGAGCCTAGCCTACCTTAAACATGCTCAGAACACTTACTTTAGTCTATAGTTGGGTAAAATCATCTAATACAATAAATGCACTGTGGGTTTTAAGTGATTTGGTTAGCCTTGGGACTAGGTGGCTACCTGGGAGCAGTGGTTCACTGCTGCTGCCCAGCATTATGAGAAAGTATGGTACTGCATATCACTAGCCCAGGAAAAAAAATCAAAATTCAAAGTATGATTTCTACTGAATGTATATCGTTTTGGCACCATTGTAAAGTCAAAAAATCGTTAAGTAGAACCATCGGAAATTGGGGGCCATCTGTATATACATATATTGAATCATGTTGTACATCTGAAACTAGTATGATATGTCACTTATATCTCAATTAAAAAGTAAGTGCAGCCCAGCTGGCATGGCTAAGTTGTTGGAAAACTGAAGTCATCTGTGTGGGTGTTAAAATCCTCATTTCTCATCTACAAACAAAAACCGATAAATCAGGGCTATGAACCAGAAGGTCATGGTTTGATTCCCATCAGGGCACAAGCCCGGGTTGCAGGCTCAATCCCCAGTGTGGGGTGTACAGGAGGCAACCAATCAATGGTTCTCTCTCATGATTAATGTTTCTCTCTCTCTCTCCCTCTTCTTTTCTCTCTGAAATCAATAAAAGTATATATATTTTTTAAAGTAAGTGCATATATATTTAAATATGAGTATAACATGTACATACTTAGATAATTACATAATATCTGGCATTAGTAAACATACGTCTAACCAACAATGAGGAAGTAATCCATGCATAGCCAGTCATTCTCCTTTTGCTCTAGAGCAAGGAGCAGGGTTGGGAAGAAGATGCTCAAACGCTATATAGATTCTCATAAAACTATGTTTTACTCTTCAGATAGAGACTGTTACTGAGAAACGCAGTAAAAAGGAGTGGAAATTCATCTAAGGTAAAATATAAAAAATAAAGTTTGACTAAAATACTTTTATTTCCTAATCTTTTAAACTTAAGAATATACATTTATAATGTTGGGTTATAAGCCATCATAGTTATTGATGGCTTATCCTTCAATCTAAGGAGGAAACTTCAAAACTTAAAAATTGGGTAAATGTATTATTTGAAATGAATATGCTGCTAATTTTGCCGCTTTTTATATTTTGAGGCAGAAATAACAAATTATAATTTTTTAAAAAATCTTGGTGTTTCTGGAAGCAAAAGAGAACTCTCCATTTTATGAATTTGCAGTTTAAGAACATTTACATGTAAAAGTTCTAAACATTATATATATAACATCTATCATTCTAAATCCTAGAGTTATGATCTCAGAATAAAATATACTGCAGAAATTTGAAAGCTGCTTTCTGGTAGCTTTAATTTGTATAGCTCTACACCTAAAATACATGCACATGCTATATAATAACATGCACTCAAAAATAAAGGATTACAAGTATTTCTTGTCTACCACTACTTACCCAAAGCATAAGGATTACATATATGGAATAATGTGATTCGCCCCCCACCCTATTACCCCCAATCTAACTTTTGTTTTAAATGGTTCTCAAAGTGTACTTGTGCTGCTCTCTACTGGGAATATGGCAGAACTGCATTTCATAGATATAGGCTGTAACACTAATTTTTATTAGTTGTAACAAAAAACTAATTGTTTTCACTATTTTACAACTTTATCTCTAAACATCATTTTATTTAAAAGTAATTGATAAATAGTTTAATTATTATTTAAGAATGAAAGATTTTGGATCTTAGCTTTTGGATTTTTAAAAGTAAAATAAGCCCTAAAGCAAACACTAAATTGAGTTTTGGCACTCACTGACTGATTAAAATTTAAGTGATAAGAATACAAATTAGAATTCCTCCATCAAATATAACTGTGTCAAACAATTTTTTTTCTCAAAGAGCAGTACAATATCACTTTTCATTTAAGTCACATATTTAATGCATTAAAGAATCTATGGCAGTCCAAAGTTTAAAGGCAATTATTCACAGAGAATCCTTCTTCTAAGTAAAAAAATCAATCATGAGGTAGACATCTGAATATTTCTCAAATGAAGTAACACTACACTGTTTCTTCTACATAAGCAATTTAAGATACAGAAAGTCTAAGTGATATCAATAAAAATTCTTTGGGGAATGTGTATTCACTTTCCTATATATCCTAACTCATAAACTATACCATTTTCTACAAAATAATATGACAGGATGGCAGCCTGTAGTTTTCCTGAGTAACAGTTTGAAAAGTTGGGGGTTTTAAAAGCAGGGGTCATCAAATTAATAAAATATATATTCCTGAAGAAATTACTTGAATAGCAAACTTTGAATATCAAATTCAGTCTCTCTCAAGAACTTACATCCTATTGTTTGAACTTTCACTTGAAAAATATAGCATTCACTGAGCTTCTAGTATATGCTACAGAATTTCAAATATATTATAACCAATCCTCACATATCTGAAAGATTAAATATCATTATTCCCTCTTTAAATTAGGACTTTGAGGTGGAAAATGATTAGAGTAACTCATTCAAATTGCACAACCAGTATTCAAACTCATGGCAGTCAATCTCCAAAGCCAAAACTTTTCACTATTCCTTGCTGCTTAGTTTAATTGAATGATGAACATTATACTAAAGCATTAAGTCTAGTGAGAGTTGCAGGCTGCAGCAATTACCTTTCCAATGGTTCAGAAAAGCAACACTACCTCAACATAACGCCCTGAGAGTTTCTACCAAATATCAAGGGAATTGTAACCACCTCTGACTGCTATCTGAGCTCCTGGTTTTAGAACAAGCAAGGGCAGCAAAACAAACAAACAAACAAAAACAACAACAACAAAAAACACTATTCATATATTCTGCTATAAAATTTTAGATTAATTAAAATAACATATCTGATTTAACTCCAAATCTCTAGACCATTCAAATACTAAATTCAATCCTTTTTTTAATTTGACAGAAGTCAGAACAATTTTATTTAAAAAACATACCAGCAAGAGGTGGCTTATGTGAGTGAAGGGTACAAGGTACACTAACAATTAATTTGTGATCTGGAACGGGGAGCATATTCCTAGTTAAAAGAGAACAAAGTAAATTATATTTTACAGGACATTTTTTATATATGAGCTACAGTTGCCTTAATTTTTTTCACCTTTCAAATAATATCTGAATTTAAAATTAATTTAATAGAAACAATAATGGAAATCAACAATTTAAGTATTAAGTACTAATAATTTCCTTTTCAACAATTATGACAATTACATACTACATACTACATAAGACAAAAAATATTATAAAATTTCATGTACCATACCATTCATACTTTTCTGGTATGGGACATTTGCAGATTTTTGAAAATGTAAAAATTAATGAACATCAATGATCAGTTGGTTAATAATTTTTAAAAACCTAAAGATTAATACATTTATATAATTTTGAAAAATCACCACTCCTACCTTAATGGTAAAGTAGTTTTTTCTTGAACTCTCCCCAGTATAAGACCTTCATAAGGCTTTTTGTGTGGAGAATCTAATGGGAACACAAACTCTCCTGAATTGGTGATCTGATAGGAACGAGTAAAAAAAAAAATCACATATCTTTAAATATCCTGGAAAGGTTTGTTTGTGGGGTTTTTTCCTACATTTTCCACCAAAGAAAAAGAACTTATTATACCTCCAAGCTAGTGTTGTCTAATAAAAATAAATATAATGTGAGCCACAAATATGTATTTTAAATTTTCTAGATGCAACATTTAAAAAACTCAAAAGAAAGCAGTGAAATTGATTATAATTATATATTTAATTTAATCTAATATATCAAAAATATTATTTCAATATGTAATAAATTCAAAAAATGTATTGAGATATGTTATATTGATTTTCATACTATACCTCCAAAATACAGTATTTTATACCTAACACCACATCTCAGTTTAGACTAACCACAAACTACCATATTGGACAAAGCAGCTGTAAGGGACTAAAAAATATTTTAAAAATCACTTTATCATCTTATACACAAAAATCTCCAATTTTCATTAACATTTATTCCTGGAAACCATGCCATCATTAACTCATTTATTCATTCATTCAAATATGTAATGATTACTGGCAATGTGACTAAGTAGATTATAATACTTTCCTTCATTTATAGGAAACAGTGTCATTAATGCTGTCAGAGCTAAAATTAATAATGATAGAAGCTCAGGGATTGATGAGATAGACAATAGTACAATCCTTGGGCATTATAAATCCAGAAATTAATTTTATCATTTCATCCTGAAGTGATCAGACTCTCAAAGACTCACTTAAGCTTCAAAATGTAATTCATAATAACACTATTAATTCATTAATTAAAGGTGAAGATATAAATTTTCATTTTCAGAATATTCATATCTTTTATATAGAATCCTTTACCCCATATCAAAGTACCTAAAAACAAAATCAGGAAAACCTTTTTATCACCACTAGGGCCCATGAGAGATAGCACCTCTACCATACAGTGCAGTAAAAGCACTGGAAATTCTCATTCTTTGGATATTCTTTATACTCAATGCAGATTACTCCTTCTGTTATAACAATAGGGTTTCATATACTACACTAGAAGCCTGGTGCACGAATTCATGCACCAGTGGAGTCCCTCGGCCTGGCCTATGGGATGGGGCCGAAACCAGCTCTCCAACATCCCCCAAGGGTTCCTGGATTGCGAGAGGGCACAGGCCAGGCCAAGGGACCCCATCGGACCCCACTGGTGCACAATTGGAGCCAGGGGAGGGATGCAGGAGGTCGGCCAGCCAGAAAGGGACTGAGGGGGGGCTCCAGGGCGTGTCCGGCCCATCTCTCTCAGTCCCAATTGGCAGGACCCCAGCAGCAAGCTAACCTACTGGTCTCAGAGCATCTGCCCCTGGTGGTCACTGCACATCATAGCGAGTGGCCTTAGCATATCATTAGCATATTATGCTTTGATTGACTGAACAGACGATTGGACACTTAGCATATTAGGCTTTTAATATATAGGACTGTATTTTTGTTTTAAACTCTGGTCTTACCATATCATCTCTCAGAACTGATTACTACTACAAATAGTCTTAGTTTTTATGTATTAACATTTTACTGGTTATGAGTTCAGAGGGTAACTTTTTCCTGACTTTGGCACCAGTCTGACTATTAAAAGAAATGTCATAATGGGCAGGATGAAATAAGGTTTTATATTCCTGTCATGATCCTATACCAAATCAACCAAAGCTAAGCCCAAAATACATAATGAAAGCAAAAATACAACTGTGAATGCTTGTTTGGAAAGCCCCATAAAACAGATGCAAATAATGTACACAGCTTTTACAACATTTCAGTAGACTACAAAGTACAAACAGAGCATATAAAAATAGAACTCTCCTGTGTCTAACATTAATGTACCTATCTAAATATTAAACATTTAAGTGATAATAATTTGGCTTATCTTTCTAAAATTTAGGAGGGCTTTTGTGGAATTCATCTAAGTGAACAATGTATCTTTAAAAGGATGTCCTGTAAACTCTGAATTAATGCCTTAATTTTTCTGTATATTTTGGTATTCTTATAGCAAGCAAGATATTAAGATCATTCAACCAATATGAGTGTTGCAATCATTCCTTTAAAAAATATGCACAGCAGCACATAAGGCACTGAAGGGCCTAAGTTAAGATTTAAAGTATGAAAAGTTCTTATTTCTAGCACCTTCCCATCTTTTCCACACTGGGTTACTTTGCTATTCTCCCTCCCATCCCCAGGAACAAAAGAAAGAAAGGAAAGGAGTCAAAAATGGTGACTGAAATTGTGGATGTATAAAGAGGAAGAAGATGAAAGGTAAGGCTATTTCTATGTTTAGTGATGAACAGATGCCTCAAAATTTTTGTTTGTTGTTTTTTAAACTACAGACATCAGAGCTTTTTAAAAAGTCATCCTGGTATTTCTCTGAGTGGCTTACTAGGGCCAGTAGTTTAGAACTCTGTTACAAAACAAGAGGGAACAAACAAAGCCTTAAAAATGAAAAGACAAAAGTATTTAGCAGCAAAGTAGAAGTTTTAATTAGACTATGTTGAAGGAGTAGAGCAGCGACGTGTTAAGTATTAAAAAGTAGATGCTATATTAATGTGACTTACATGTCATGCTATATGAACAAACAAATTAACTTCTGAACTTACTTTTAACCAGTGCCATTCAGCAATTATCTCCACAGACCACGAAGGATAAAGTTCTTCTTTTACAAAACGTAAGTGCTTCTGTCTATTAGTCACCCAAGTAATAACAAGACAGTTTGGAGCAGCCAGTTTAGGGATAGGTATTTGTTTTATTTGCAGTGGTGACAAATAACTATACCTAAAAATAAATAGAAAAATATTAGCAAAATTTGCTGCAAAAATAACAATAAGCAGGGAAAAAACCTGTATAACACTCCATAAACACAAAGTTCCCATAGGTATGTATTTGTATTACTAAATATGAACCCACAGTGACATCCAGTGGACACACTATTACAGGCAAGTCAGAAATAACTTCATTTTTTGTTTTTACTTGTTTAAACTTGTCAGGCTATAATTCTTTATCACTTCTAAATGCATTACATTTCAGTAATTTTACTAATATTTACAACGTGCTTTTTATCATTATTGTTTGGTTGTCATAATCTGTACATTACACAGGGACCCTGTCACAGGGAGTCTTGACACTACTGTCTCAACATTCTACCGTATTTTCATCCCTCAGTCTATCATCTTCATTCTTTCTTCCTTCCCAATCAATTCCACTGGCCTCTCTAAAACCCTCAGGCTTTCATTACAAAAAAATTTAAAAAATTAAAAATCCTAGTCTTGCATCTCGTGGCCATTAATAGTATGAAGTCTAGTTTCCCTTGCACTACTTGCTCTACAATACTCAATCAAATATATGTTGCCCTTTCTCCAACACTCAATACATACAACTGGGAGAAGCGAGGTCAGAACTCTCCTAGGTCCCCTATTGCTGCTTCCAGGATATAATTCATCCATCCTTGCATAAAATCCCCTTCTCTTTGAGAGGTATGCTATCCAGCCATGCTAACCTTTAATGTTTCTTGTAGATCAGAGAATTTCCCTCAATTTGGTCTCCTGCCTACAGCTAAATTAAGGGCTGATATGCAATTAGTCTTTCTGCTATCTCTCCTATATTCCTCAATTGACTACAATGAGGTTTTTACTATTAAATCTGCTCTAGAAAGAGTAAATAACATCAAAATGGCCAAATACAATAAACGCTGGAATCCAACTCTAACGCAGGGTAACTGTATGTTGTACACCTGAAACTGATATAAAATAATGATGAATGCAAAATGTAATTGAAAAAGTTATTGGCTAAAAAAATAAACTCAAAATGGTTAAAGACTTAAATGTAAGGCTTGAAACCATAAAAGTCCTAGAAGAAAACATAGGAAGTCAGTCTGAGTAATATCTTTTTTTATATATCCCCTCGAGCAAGGGAAACAAAAGCAAAAAAACAAGTGGGACTTCAACAAACTAAAAAGCTTCTGCACAGTGAAAGAAATCTTCAACAAAACAAAAAGACAACTTACTTGAAAGAAAGAATATATTCATAAATGACATTTCTGATCTGAGTTGATATCCAAAATATATAAGAAACCCATACAGCTCAATGATTAAAAAAATAAGCAATACAACAGAAAATGGGGAAAGGTCATGAAAGGACATTTCTCCAAAGAAGAATACAAAAAGATGCTCAACATTACTAATTATCATGCAAATCAAAACCACAATGAGATACTGCCTCACACTTGTCAGAATGGGTATCAAAAAGTCAATAACAAATAACAAATGTTGGCAAGGATACAGAGAAAGGGAATCCTTGTGCACTGTTGGTGGGACTGAAAACTGGTGCAGCTCCTATAGAAAACTAAAAATAGCTCCCTTTAAAAACTAAAAATAGATATGCCATACAACCCAGCAATTCCTCTTTGCAGTATTTAACCAAAGAAAATGAGAACACTAATTCAAACAGATATATATGTACCCCTATGTTCACTGCAGCATCCTATACAATAAAAGGCTAATATGCAAATTGTCCCCTCAGGAGTTCTACCAGGAGATGGGGAATTCAATCACTCAGTATGGAGTGCGCTGACCACGAGGGGGCAGCGTGGAACATGGCAGACAACCAGAACAGCAGCTGCAGGGCACTGAGAGAGCAAGGAAAGGAGGAGGCAGGGAGGCGAGGAGGTGGGGAACCTGATTGGCCCTGATTGCCAGTCAGGCCTAGGGACCCTACCCATGGTGCACCGGGCCTCTAGTTATTTATAATAGCCAAGACATGGAAGCAACCTAGGTGTCCATTAACGGATGAATGGATAAAGATGTGCTATACATACATAAACACACATAAACACACACACACACACACACACACACACACACACACACAAATGGAGTATTACACAGCAATAAAAAAGATTGAAATCTTGCTATTTGCAACAACATGGATGAATCTAGAGCCGGGGTGGGCAAACTTTTTGACTCGAGGGCCACAATGGGTTCTTAAACTGGACCGGAGGGCCGGAACAAAATCTGGATGGAGTTGTTTGTGTGAACTAATATAAATTCAAAGTAAACATCATTACATAAAAGGGTATGGTCTTTTTTTTTTTTAGTTTTATTCATTTCAAATGGGCCGGATCCGGCCCGGGGACCGTAGTTTGCCCACGGCTGATCTAGAGGGTATTATGCTAAGTGAAATGTCAAGCAAAGAAAGACAAATTCCATAAGGATTTTCCTACATGTGGAATCTTAGAAAACAAAATAAACAAGACAAAACAAAAACAGACTTAACAGAAACAGAGACCAAAGGGATGGTTACCAGAAGGGAGGCGATGGAGGAATAAGTAAAAAGGAGAAAGGGAATATCGTCAATAAAATTGTGGTAAGTTTGCATGGTGACAGATTACTAAAATTATTGGGGTTATCAGATAAAAAATGTCAAATCACTATATTGTATACCTGAAACTAGTATAACCAATATAAGATTGTATACCAACTATACATAAATTGAATTTTTTTATTGCATTGGCTATTTTTGGCCCTTTGCATTTCCATATAAATTATGGAATCACCTTTTCAATTTTCACCAGAAATAAAATATCTTCTGAGATGATGTTTGAGATTGCAAAAAACCTAGACAATTTAGGGAGAATAGACACTATTTACATATTCAGTCTTCCAGTTATATATGGGACATCTTCTTTTATTAAGATTCTCTTTGCTTAGGGGATATATTCAATAATATTATAGTAACTAAATATGATGCCAGATGGATACCAAACTTATCGGGATGATCACTTCATAAGATATATCAATGTCTAATCATTATGTTCTACACTTGAAAGTACTATAATATTGTATGTCAACTATAACTGAAAATTTTTTTAAATATTTCCTTTAATTATTCTCAAAAATATTTTATAATTTTCAGTGTAGAGGTCTCATATCTTTGGTCAGATAATATCTAGGTAATACATTTGTAAAAGCTATAATAAACAGATTACACACACACACACACACACACACACACACACACACACACACTACACACACTACACAAGCACAATCCTACCAGCTATGACAGATTACCACCAGCAGCTTAGGGCAAAAGTCAGATTATTAAGGAAATCCATACTATGGTATCTATTTCTAAACTTTAGTGTTTGATATTAAAGAAGGCAAAAAATGTTGCCCTTTGCAGAAACATCCCTGAACGGGTTCAGTCAGTAAACTCAGTAATTAATAAATATGTTACTTTTAACATCCTTACACCTATATATAGCTCTAGTTCAAGAGAATTATCTACTTAAGGAAATTAAAACTTTAATACTAAAGTGTTTTAGCAGTTTGAGACAACCTATATCAAAAACTAATGTTTTTAGCACATGTAACTAAAATGTTCAAAGGACGATAGCCTTCAGAAAACATATCTAATAGAAGACTTATTTATACCTACCTGTTACTTCTTTTAACTGACTTGTTCTGCCATGGTGGATCTATCACAATCACATCATATGTTTTCCTACCTAAGAACAAAGACACAATTTCAGAAACTTTAGAGTGTATGTGGTCACCCTAAAACCTAAACATGTTCTTCAAAACCAAAGTGCATTCACCACATACACAAATATAATGCAATGCAACAAAGGATTTGTGGCATTTATTCAAATAGACTAAATGAACTAAAAAATATTAATTTAGTACTGCTAGGATTTTAACATGATTTCACCTATTACTGTTTTTATAGAGACTGTCTGAAAATAACTATAGCTCACTTAGCTGGACACCAATGATTTTAAAACCCTGTTAGTCTTCATAGCAATATTAATATAGTCTTTTCAAACTTCAAGGTTTTTTGCTTTATTTTTAAGTTTCTTTATGAAATAAACTTTCAGTCTTTTAAATGATATATCAGCCATAATAAAATTTCCTCAATTATCTACTAGTGTCGATTTTTTTCTGGTCCTGGATCCAAAACAGGATCACACTTTGCATTTAATTGTTATGTCTACTAAATCTCCTCCAATCTGGGGAAGTTCCTCAGTTTTTCTTTGCCTTTTATGATCTTGACACTTTTGAAGACTGCTGGCCAGTTATTTTTGTAGAATGTCCCTCAGTTTGAGTATTTCCTCATGATTAAATATAGGTTTTTTTGGGCAAGAGTACCAATGAAGTAATGCTATGTCCTTATCAAAACCACCTATCAGGAAATACAGATGTCAGAATGTCTCATTATTGGTGATACTACCTTTGATCACTCAGTTAAAGTGTAGTCTACAGGTTTCTCTAGATTTTCCTTTGTAATTAATAAGTGTCACATATTTGAAGACTATGCAAATATAGTGTGTCTCATGTTTTCACCCACTACTTTTATATCCAACTACTGTGGTATTTGCCAAATGTAAATTTTCCAGTTCCATCATTCATTCCATCCACATTTATTAATTGGAATTTCACAGTAAGGAAGAGCTGTCACTTCTCCTCCTTTTATAAACAAACGTGATTTATATTTTTGTAAATGTACAATCTCATAAGTAATCAAAAGAATGCAATTTAAAATAAGGAAGTAACAGTTTTTAAACTATTAGAGTAACAAAAGTCAAAAAGAATGGAAAAAATGTTCAAGAATAGCATGATTTTCTCATTAATTTGTTAAACTATCATTTACCCTGTGGAATTTATAATACTGTGGCATGAATAACCACTCATGTGTAAGATGGCTTGATCATAATTAAAATAACCTTTTCATTAATAAGCTATGCCATTTTAACTAAATTTTTACATAAAATGTCCAAATAATAATAGCAGATTAAATTCAACTTGATCAATATCTACCTTTTACCTACTCATCCCTTAAAATACTGAGTTGTAATTTATTAAAAACATATAAAGCACAGAGCTAAACTCCTGATGCAGATTATTCATTTAACCTCAAAATTACCCTGAGCAGTAGGTATTATCATATCCATTTTATAGATTAGGGAACTCAAGCTCAGTTTTGTGAAGTACCCAAATTCACATTTAGTTAAGCTTCAGAATCTAAATTCAAATTCTGGTCTGGGCTTGGTTTTCAACTTTATACAGGAAAACGTTTCAAGAAATTTGGTACAATAACTTGAACATTAGCTTGAAATAGAAGAACCTAAAAGGCTAAGAATTAATATTCATATCTGAAGTGTTTCTACTTTGCTATGAAGAAAAGTTAAATAAAATTATTTGGTCAAACCCAATTGTATCCTGAATTCCTAAGTACAAAACAGTAATTGTATCTGCTCTCATAGGGACTAGGTATTTTTGACCCCTTATTCACAATAAGAATTTAAAATATTTTTAAAAAGCAAAATTCAGCATTTTAAACTTGAATTTAAAAGCAAAATTACATTGAGAAAATTCAGTGTTTACCTTATCCTCATAAAATGTTTGCCCTCAGTTAATATTCAGACTAGCTCCTGACTTTTGAGGCCACAGAAAAATTATCTTTTTCTAATAATAAACATAATAATTACTTACAATTCAGAAGCGGGTGCATACAAGAAATGTCAGACAAAAGAAAACTGCTTTTTGGTGGCACCAGGTATTTCTGTCCCATTAAAGTAATCATTTTTGTAAATCTAGAGTTGTTTTCAACAATCCGTGAAAATAAATCCTGCTCTGTAACAGACATATCGTTTTCCATCAATTGTAATGTCAGAAGTTCCATTTCATTCAGAGAAGGCAAATGCTTTGCCATTTCACATAATTCTGATAAATTGCAGGTATCAAATGATAAAGTAATGGGCTCATTACACTTGTCCTGTTTTTCAGAAAGTGGATGAAGAAAGCCACTTTTTAAACCTTCTTGGATTATCTGTGAAGATCCATTCAAAATCAGCCCCCTGATCTGTAAGAAAAAATTTTTAAGTATATTAAAAGGTCACTGACATTAAAACAATTTTCTAAAAAATGAAATTCCTACTGTGCTTTGAATATGTAAACATTTATGGATTGAAATCAAACCAGAATGCTTATAGGAAAATAATTTTATACTACAATGAAAAGATAAGAATGTATGAGTATACTTTTGAACTGCAGTTTCCTAATTGGGGAATGATACAAACCTCATAAATTCAATGAAAATTAAATAACAAAACAATATATATAAGAAAATACATCCTTAAATTATAAAATGAATTTGATAGTGTTTCTAAAAGAAAGTATAATCTCTAATCTGTAAAGAGAATTAAGTTCAAATCACAAGATTTAATCTTAAATTTTCCTAGTGACTTAATTTTCAAATAAACATACTTTGAGTTTATAAAATATAGCTTGAATTATTAAAAAAATTAAAGAAAAATAACTGTAAAATGAATATATAAACAGTTTTGCAGACATGCAACTACAATAATCATAAAAATAAAACCCAGTTCTGCTTCTGGACAAGATCAAGTACATTTCATCTGAAATAAACTTCTAAAAATTATTTTCTAAAAAGGCCTTCAGATGATGGATAGATGTCAAACAGAGCAGAGCAGTGGTCTCTAAAAAGGAGAAGCAAATGATTGCTCCAGCCAACTGCCTTGAGAAAGTTTCTAGGCAGCAGCACAGAGGATACCATTCAGAGTCCAACCGTCTCTCTGAGTTGAAGAGACAGAGCTTGGAGTCTGAAAAGGCCAAGCACGTAGAGTATTCAGAGGAGGATACCACAGAGGAAGAGCTGCACAGAGAGAGGTCTTGAAAGCTGCAAAGGGCCAAGTCTCCACTTCAGTATTAATCAGCATATACATATGATGAAACTCAAAGTCAAGGAAAGAACCAGGAATGATCAAAGGGAACAATCCCCAGAGCTCATACAGGGCTGGGAACAGTTAGTGCTCCCACTGGCCAAATGAAAAATCTCATAATTCACAAACATTGCCTCAGTAATGGAAACAAACAAACAAAAAGCTCTAAGTCTGCTCTGGTGCTAACTAAAAAAGCTTAAAGGAAGTCTCAAGAGGATCAACCAGTTTCAAAGTAGAGGATACCAGGGAATGGGAAGTTATTATTTTATAGGTATGGATTCTACTTGGAATGATGAAAAAGTTCTGGCGATGGATAGTGGTGATGATGGCACAATAGTGTGAATGCATTTAATGCTAAATTATACACCTATAAAAGGTTAAAATGATAGATTTTATTATGTATATTTTACCACAAAAAACATTTTTTGGGGAAAAAATCCAATGTCATACCATCACATTAATTCAACATGTCCAACCCTGGTTTCCCATCTCAGTTGAAGGTGTTCCTTAGGCAATTAAGCTGAAATATTTGTGTTCCCTCAGTTTTCTCCCATTTCTTTATCTCCTAGATTTCATTTATCTCTAAGTTCCAGAAATATATCCTTCATATTATTCATGCTTTCTTCTGCCACTCTCTTAAGTTGTTTTAGCTATGGACAGTAGGCTTTTATAACTTATAAAATTTCTAAACTTAACCAATATAGCATAAATTTACTTACATTAAATATGTAAAGTAGGAATATATGAAGTTTTAATAAAAACTTTGTTTAAATTGTTCATTACTATGAAAGTAGCAATAAACCACTCCTTTATTAAATTCTAACCTTGATCACATGATTGCATTTTTAAGAACATCCTTATTTATATCTGTCTGTTTACACTACTTCACATCAATCTTATAATGTTATCAATGAACATTTCACACTTTACCTTTTCATGGTATTCCATAGCATCCAATTCACCTTGATTGAAACCAACACACCTTTTACGCTTCTAAAGAGTAAATTACAGGGAGAAAATTATACTGCCATCTATCACAATATTAATATTTTGAATTTTTTTTCTTTAGCACATTTTCCATATTGGAGCAACTCAGTCTTTAAAAGGTAATAATTACTATTTAGGTCAAAATCAGTGCAGAGGGTATGGAGAAAGGATAAAAATGTTTTCCCACATAATTATTATTGTTACTTTTACTACAAATTTAATAGGTGATAAAAGGTCACCTCAGCCTTTTCAGCTATTAGTAAAAAATAGTACTAAATGGTACCAGTGACATCCATGGAACAACTGAGACATTCTATAAACAGTCAGCAGTGTCATCTGTCAGTTGATATATATGGTATAATTATTCTGGACTTTCTTCAGTTCTGGAGAAGAACTATTATCTATATACCTAAAAAATTGTCCAATGTATTTTTAATAGTTGTTTGTAATTGATCTGAGGGCTAGGTACAAATCAGATATACTAATACTATCCTATATCTAACAACTCCAGAGCAAAGAACACGTAAGACAGTGCAATACAGAGCAGGGCCTATGTACTTTTTATTGCTGAAACCTCAGTGCCTACATGGTGGCAAACTCCTAGCAGACTAACAAGAAATGTTTGTTGGCTGAATAAATAAATGGATTTAGATTAAGTTAATTGCACAATTTGCCATAGCATATCAGAAATAAGGTAAGTTTTATCAAGATAATCTCATTACATATGCTCATCTATATTTTTCCATATTAAAATGAGAAATTTACCCAATATAAGACACCTAAACATTTAAATACTAAAATACATAAACATTAAAAGACAATGTCCATTCTTGGTGAACTGTAAAGTCCTTTACAACTGTTCAGCACAATTTGCCATAGCATATCAGAAATAAGGTAAGTTTTATCAAGATAATCTCATTACATATGCTCATCTATATTTTTCCATATTAAAATGAGAAATTTACCCAATATAAGACACCTAAACATTTAAATACTAAAATACATAAACATTAAAAGACAATGTCCATTCTTGGTGAACTGTGAAGTCCTTTACAACTGTTTATTATTTGCCTGAATTAATAACAGTAATGATAAATTACCTACATACTATATTACTGAAAGCTCAGAAATATTTTCTGTGCCTGACACATAGCAGATGATCAATAATTAGTTGAAAGAGAAAAAACATATGTACGAGAAAAAAAATCAATGAATATTAAAATTGCTACTTCAGATACCTATAACAATGTAATAATTTACCTCTATTAATTTTCTTATTCTAACTCTCAATGTGTTTATTTAATAATATCTTTCTTCCCTTTACAATTATAAGATCCATGAAGGCAGGGATTGTATAGCAAGGGTTATTAGCAAATTGTTAAAAATTACTCTGGATACACTAAAGCCTTCTTATGCTTGATTGATTCTTATGCTTTATTCTTTAAACTTAGTAAATAACAAGGTATTTGATACTGGAATAATAAATCTCTTGTTTTCTGTAGAAATATAAAAATTTCTTAAAACTTTCTACCTTCCCAAGAGTAGAAATGGAGATTTCTTTTTTAACACCATTCATTAGATCTTCCTTTTCATTATTTTGTTGGCATTCCTTGTGAATAGCTGAAGTTATATAAGGTTTAGTGATATCAAACAGTTCAGATCTAAAAATATATTTTTGTATGAACATTTCACAATTTCCTCCACCATCATTCTTGGGCTTAGTGGTAGAGTCGGAAGCAATAAATTTAGTTGAGGATCCAAAGGAGGACACAGAATCAAGGTGAACAGAAGCAGTGGGCTCATTTTTACTGCAACAAGATTCATGATGCTGGTGAACTTGATAGTTGATCTTGTTAATGAAAGAAAGATGATCCAGTAACCATCCTGGTGACAGCTGGTGCACCACTGACATTCTCTTTCTTTAAAAAAAGAAAAGAAAAAAAGAAAACACCTCTGGGAATGAGATTAGAAGTAAAACCCAACTTTCCAGATCAAGTTCTTAAATGTCCTGTATTTCAACAAAAATATACTTCATACACAAATAAATACACAAGTAAATAAACGTGACATGTACAGAAAAGTTAGGCATTCGTGATATGTAGCAGGTCTAAAAATAATTAGTGTTTTAATATAAACTTTTAATATCTGGGTTAATAATTCAAAATTTTCAGCCAACTTGGACAAAGAGAGTTAAAACCTGTTCTTATTTCTAGAATCCCAATTTGATCTTTCTATCTTCCTGGGCCCTGCTTGGATCCAACCACTATGTCTACAACTTCCAAGTCAGAAAGTCACTGAGTCCTTAACAGGTGAAAGTGTCCTGTCAAAGCAAAGAATACTGTATTACCTATGTGAATCCACCCTTTTTGGTGAGATAAACCTAGAGGTCACAATTTCAGAGCTGTTAGCATATCAGCTCTTGTTTTTCAAACTACATTTAACATAATTAGTCAGCCCATTCTCCGGTATCATTGCCTTACTTAACCACTGGAAAGAATACTGTATTACCTATGTGAATCCACCCTTTTTAGTGAGATAAACCTAGAGGTCACAATTTCAGAGGAGCTGTTAGCATATCAGCTCTTGTTTTTCAAACTACGTTTAACATAATAAGTCAGCCCATCCTCCGGTATCATGGCCTTACTTAACCACTGATACCAATGGAGTGCAAAAGGATAAAAGTAAAGCAAAATGCAATTTTAACAGCACTAAACCACAGCAAAATTGCAAGGTTACAGAGTCTAGATCTGTATCGGTTCTGAGCAGTTCTCCTCCAGCAACTAGTACTTCCTTTTTTCAAAAGATGCTTTTCAGTTCTGGATATCGCTTACTAAATCTAGTATAGTGGAACGCTGAAGAGGGGGGACAAATTAATATATGTGACTAATAGCACAGTTAATACTAGTAACATCTAGATTCAAACTTTTAACTCCATGCATTAGCTTTATGACCATGGGACAAGCTATTTGATCTCACTGAGCCACAATTTCACCTTTTTTTATGACATCTCAGAGGGCAGTTTAGAGAACGTAATGCGATAATCGACATGAAGTGCTGTGCAGAGCCTGGCACAAAGCAACTGCTCAAACAAATGCTTTTGGTGACGGTAAATCTGTACTGGTCCTCCCTTCAGAGTCACCGCGGTGGTGAGGAGGTCCTGTAATATCCACCGAGAGCTAGAAATGTAGATAGGAAGATTGAAAGTCAGACAGAAGGGTTAGCGTGCCCCAAAATTACAACTGTAGTTAATGGCACGACTGCTACAAGGCCCGGGTACCCCGACTTTGGTTCTGAGCTCTTCTTCCAACCCCACCACCCTAGGTATCATAGGCGGTGTTTGTCCGAGTTCAGACTCAGGGAAGCGGGAGTGACTGTGAAGGGAGGACCAATACCAGGTTTACCATCACCAACAGCAGAGCAACCTATGCTCACTGCACCTCTTGGTCTCTCCTACTTCTCTGCTTCACACCAATCACCCCCTAATCATCCGGATTCCTTCTACCCTCTCACAGGACACCACCAGACTAAAAAGGTCGTAAAATCCTAGCGAGCAAATTCTGAGCCCGAACCCAGGCGTGGGCCACACCGGCGCGATCTTCGGAACCGATTGCGCCCAAACTCAGCAGGCTCACTCCCTCCTCCCTCACTGCTTCCCTCATCAGAAAAGTGCATGCCGGCTTCCCAGATCTGCATCGTGAAAAAAGCACGCATCTAAATAGTTGTCATAAAAGACGCCCCTTTCAGCCCAAAGCGGGGGAGAGGATGTCTTCTCTAAGAGTCAACGGGCGCGTCCATGTTGCTGTACGGACAAAGCGTTTCCGGGGCGGCTCAGAGCGCTCTGCCCCCGACTCAGCGACTCAGAGCGCTCAGGCCTTCGGAGCTACACTGGGGGTCGGACCGGACTGGGTCGGGGACGCTTACAGGGCCCGGGAGACGCCGGCGCGCCCGGCGAGACGGCGGGACGCGACACACGCAGATTTCCCGCGACGAGCAGCCTCCGCGAAAGAGATGCGCACGCGCGAGCACGGGACGTGATGACGTCAGCATCCGCGGAGATTTTAAAATTCTAACGGCGCGGGTGGGTGGGCCCAGGCGCTGGTGTTTTGGCGGCTGCCCTCCTGTCCCGCAGGTTATCGCACGGTTTACGGAAATTTGATTTCTGAATCCGGTCAGAAAACTGGAAGAAAGGTGAGTAATGACTTTGGGGTTATTTTGTGGCGGCAGGGAGAAGGCGAGAGCGCCCACCACCAGAGGCCCTGCCGGGCGATGGTCTAGTGTGGGCTGTTGTGCTGCTGTGGGAAGCCTCGGGCCCCACTCTACAAGGCGCTGGTGTCCGGGAGTCCAATAAATTTCTCCTGGCAGCGACTTCCCACGGGAAAGGGGGTGGCCTGGGGGCCGCTGATGGGGAGGAGAGAGGCAGGAGACCGGAAAGGGGGAAGAACTGAGGGGAGCCAGGGACAGGAGCCGCTTGGTGGGTTTGAGATGGGAGTGTAACAGCCTAGGGCCCGAGTACATACTTGGGGAAGTCTTCATCTCCATCCTCAGAGTACATTTCAAGTATTGATGGGGAGTGGGCCTATGGGTTAGAGTGGAAACGTTGATGGATGGATGGATGCAGAAGCATATGTTTAAAAAGAAATGCATGGGCAAACCAAGAAATTGAGAAGAAAAGAAAAATTCTGAGAGGTTGTAAACGAAATTACAGCAGCCAGAGGCCGAGAGAAAAAAAGCAGAACAATTAGCCTGTTGATAGCTGTTGACCAGCAGCTAACACAAGACGGCTCAGATGCATCTATGTTTGTGGGAATTTAGGATCAACTCCCTGGGAAAAGATTATTTTGAAGGAACAATGGAACTTGACTGCCTTTCTGTTTGAAGATAAAAGTGGGTGCTTCATAGTGCCACCTGGAAAGTTGTGTGTTTTTTTAATACTGAATTCATGAATGCAGGTCGTAAGCATGAAGCGCAGTTCAGTTTCTACCGGCGGTGCTGGCCGCCTCTCTATGCAGGAGTTAAGATCCCAAGACTTCAATAAACAAGGCCTCTACACCCCTCAGACGTAAGTATCTCATGCCTCATTGTCTTGGACAAAGCAATCTGTAAAGGCGATAATAGCAAAGCTGCACTATCAGTGATGTCCGATGAATCTTGTCTGTGGCCAGGGGCACCCGATTTTGGGTCAGTGAAAGCTAAAAGTGGGCATATTACTAAGGTGTTGTGCCTTACCTCATTTGTTCCTTAAGGCTCAATGCCTTGTCTTTTGCCAGGCAATTGACATTCATTCCCTGTGCAGTAACTTTCAGCTTGCTGAGGTGTATTCAGCTAGCAAAGTTCTCGATTAAAGGTATTATTTGCAGCAAACGGTAAGCTGCAGTTAAGTAGCCGTCTACGGAACACCACTTCTCCAAACTGTTTTCTCAAGATGCACTGGGAAAAAAGGTGTCCAAAAGAACTTGCTGTGGTAAACTAGTTTTACTCTGTGAGTGATTTCCTTCCTACTAAGAAAAAGGCTATTAGTGAGCCCCTGTAGATCTGTATCAATCCTTCTCACATACCAAGTGACAAGAAAGACATTCTGAAGTGCTCTAAAATGAAATGACATGCAGCTTACCGCGGCCTGAGAGCGTGAGAGACGGTTAGCCGTTAGTAGCCATGGGCCACCTATGACGAAAGATTGCTCGCATTTCTCTATGTAAGTGGGAATTTAGGGTTAATTTCAAGATGGCTATTTCTGTGAATATCCAACAGAAAATAGCCAGGTGCCTTAGAAGCCCAGGTGCCTCTCCACTTGTTAGTTACATACCAACTTTTCAGTCTGCCACCCACAGCTAACCCAAAGGAGTGGATGCTTCTTCCTTGCTAACTCTGGACCCATCCCGAGCTGGCCCCACTTCAGCTTCCCCCACCCCTTTTGCCCGTAGCTAATGTAAATTCTTTCAGAATAGCTTACATCTCCCAGGACATCAGACATGTATTTTCATCTAGCCATGCTGCTGGCAGTTCAGACTTAATGCTCTAGAACAGTGATGGCGAACCTTTTGAGCTTGGCCTGTCAGCATTTTGAAAAACCCTAACTTAACTCTGGTGCCGTGTCACATATAGAAATTTTTTGATATTTGCAACCATAGTAAAACAAAGACTTATATTTTTGATATTTATTTTATATATTTAAATGCCATTTAACAAAGAAAAATCAACCAAAAAAATGAGTTCGCGTGTCACCTCTGACACGCCTGTCATAGGTTTGCCGTCATTTGCCTAATAAATCCTTTCTTTTCAAAAAGACTTTCAGACATGTAATTAACATATTTTGTTTAACATAAGGTACAAGTTTTATTTGCTAACTGTTCTTAAATTGCTTAGGTTTACATAGTATAAGCTGCAGCTACTTTTAGGAATTTGAAATATTTATGCATGGCTTTTCTTCTGAAGTCAGAAAAAACTTTTATACTGTTGCATATTACTTACGCCGAAAGATTTGTCTTGAATTGCACGGGAACTAAAAGGCTACCATTTTCAGTGTTTTAGGTCTGTAATTTAGATAATGTATGTTAAGTGTAGCTGTGTTCTGATAGACTAGGCCTCAAAAAAATTTTTTTAATGTGGCTATCCTCCTATGATTGAAAATATTTTTAAGTTTTTTCTTTTCCTTTAATGTTGTTATCCATAAATGTCCATATTTTAAGATAATTGAAATCATAATGTAGCTATCTTTTCTTCATAACATTTTAGCATTATAACTTATACTGTATTAGCCTATTCTTATTGCAGTTATGATTGCTACTAAAAGTTTTCATAATTTTGAATTATTTTTATAGGTAATAGGAAACCTAATATGTTGGTTCTAACGTATTTCCAAAAGTTTCTTGAACTAATATTTTTTTATATTTATCTTAAAGAGTGTGTTTTCCTCCTTTTCTTAAAGCAAAGAAAAGCCATCCTTTGGAAAGTTGAATATGACCAAACCCACATCTGAAAGAAAAGTCTCTCTATTTGGTAAAAGGTAATGATATTTTTTATTAGTTCTACTGAAGGTATTCTTCAAGCCAAGGGTTGAACTAAATGCTCTCTGGATACAACAAATTAGATAGCATGGTCCCTTTCAAGAGAAAGTTTTAATCTAGTTCTCTTCTGTTTTAAATGGTTATATCTGTTTTAAATGATGCAAAGAGATATATCAGCACAGTCAGACTACTATTTTTTGTTGATTTCACAGGGGATGGAGTGGGGAGAGAGAGAGAGAGAAAAGAGGGGATGGGAGAGAGAGAAAGATAGAAACATCAATGATGAGAGAGAATCATCAATCAGCTGCCTCCTGCACGCCCCCCACTGGGAATCAAGCCTGCAACCTGGGCATATGCCCTGACCAGGAATCGAATCGTGACCTCCTGGTTCATAGGTCGATGCTCAACCACTGAGCCACACCAACCGGGAAGACTACTATTTTATAGTTATAAATGAATAGTTAATTTAAAATTCTATACCTAACTTTCAGATACTATGGAATCATAATATTTAAAGTTAGGAGGAACTGTTATCTAGTTAAACATTTTAGTCCCAGACTTCTTTATACACTTAAATATTAAGACTCCAAAAAGCTTTTATTTTGTGGGCTATATCTCTTGATATTAACCATATTAGAAATCAAAACTGAGAAAATTTTAAAATATGTATTAATTCAGTTTAAAATAAGAAGCCATTACATGTTAACATAAATAGCATCTGTTTATTTTAGTTTTTCATAAACAAAGCTGTTTTAATAAGAAGCACGTCCTTGTTTTCATCTCCGCCGAAAAAATTAAAGAATTGTTGAACTTTAATGTTTGATGCTGATGTTAAAATTTAAAATCACCTTGAAAGAATTTAGATTTGACCACAGAAGAAAATAGTTTTGACTCTTTTTTTTTAATGTTTCCAGAACTAGTGGAACTGGATCCCGGAATAGTCAATTTGGTATATTTTCCTGTTCTGAAAAAATCAAGGACCCAAGACCACTTAATGACAAAGCATTCATTCAGCAGTGTATTCGACTACTCTGTGAGGTATTTTATAATTTTAAATAGCCTAAATTGTG